CACTGGTTGACGAGTAGCAACAGGCAAAGCTCCACCGGCACCTGTGATGGGTGCCACAAACCCGGCGCTAGTACTGGACGCAGTTCCCACAGTGCTCGCACCTGTCGAAGCAGCAGCTGACGTGCCATTCACAGCTGCGGCCTTGCCTTCCATTAGATCCGTCAGCCGCCTTTTACCTTGGTCGGCCTCCTTCTTGTTCGACTTCTCTTCTAATGCCAGTTGCTCAACACTCTCAGGAAAATGCATAGCATCTCGTCCACCACCGTATTTCGCTAGCTGCTTCTCATTCTCTTCAACTGGAATAATATATCCCAGATCCCCCTCTTCAAAAATGCAAACAAGTATGCTACCATCCAGGGAGCTGGCAAACACCTTCTGTCCATCAGGAGCCCATGCTAGATCCGTTATAGCTTTCTCTGCAATATCTTGGGACACTAATATAGGCCTTGGATTCGACGTATTCCATACACTCAGCGCCTTATCTTGGCCTGCACACGCTATGACTGTAACTAGCTGTTTCGAGCCCTTGGCTTTGGAGAACATCCTAGGAGAGAATGCAGCGACTTCGACTGGCCCCTCATGTCCAATCAGATTTATTTCGCTATCCCAAACTCCTCTATTGACAATCGCTACCGTAGCCACAGGTCCATTAGTAGCGTTAGCAGCAGCTATGTGACTTCCATCGGGTGACCATGAGCATCGTCGGAAATATGTGGTAAGAGGTGATCCTTCAAACGGAGCCGTAACAGTTGTGTCTAAAGAAAATGTCATGTCAGTTGCCGAGGTTCGGTGATACCGCACGATCTTAATAGTTCTGTCGTCGGAGGCTGTTGCGAAATATTTATTAGCAGGATCAAACGTAATCCCTTTAACGTGCGATTGGTGAATATCCAGACGTTTGATCTTCTCGAAGGTTGTTCCACTCCACACAATAATACCACTATCAAGACCAACGCTGACCAAAATACTTGAATCCGGTGCCCATTCAAGACCTTGGACATCATTCTCGTGTCCAACACACCGCCGCCGTACAATCCAGCGCTCTGAATCAGCTTCACCCTGCGACCCAAACTCTTTTCTCGGAAGTTCGTGCCCTTCTTCTTCTCGTTCCCACACGAGAATAACTCGATCATCTGACCCTGAGGCCAAGTATCGTCCAGATGGTGAAAATCGCACAACGGTGACGGCACCTGACGGTAATCAGCATGTTTGGTCGATCCCTACAGGATATACATACCAGAATGCGTGCTCATACTGCACAATTGCCTAGGTCCAGTGTACAATTGCACCTTACCATTGCCATTGGTAACATTTTCGGCACCCTCGGCAGCAGCACAGGCGTAAATTGCGGTTGTCGACCATATTCGCACTTTGGAATCTATATCATATAAATGTTTGCTCTACCATAAGGTCACGAAACTGGTAACAGCCATACCTAATCCGCCTGATGCCAGTCGAGTACCATCTGGGGAAACGTGAATTGAGTACACTTCAAAGTGCTTCTGGCCCTCTACATGGCACAATAAAAGTCAGCTGTACATTGCGATTTTGAAGCACCACAACATACCAGAGTGACTAAGCCACGACGGCTTCAAATAAAACATGATCCGATCGCGCGCGTCCTCTGCCGATTGCAGTAAGACTGTGACACCGTTGTCAAACGATGTTGCTAAGCTGAAGAAACTGTTACGTAGTTAGTTGTTTTCCATGAGCAACGCCTTAGCGCGTTATTTGGAGCAAACATTACACTTTCTACTGCGGTATCGTCGATCACCAAGTTAGACGCGAACGGTGGAGACAGTAAGTGATATTGTATTGGAAACGTATCTACAGTATCACGTCGTCCAACCGCAATTAAGACCTTCCTCTATTTTTTACGTAAAATTTTGGCCAATATGATAATACTAGTTGGTTTAGGAATATGAACAAAGGAAATTCGGCCTGTGAAAAATTAGCATGCTCAATATGGATTATCCAGCCAGAGATTGTGCAGTTAAGGGTTAAATGTCAATGAGGCTATTGCCTAATTGACTACTCTGCCCTAGGCCTAAACTTTGTTACGTCTGCAAAGAACCGCGAGCCGTGAATATTAGTTGGATCACGTCTATCATTGGTCTGCTCGAATATAGGAAGCTGCAGTAGTTACTACTAGTCACAGCTCCTCGATAATATTATCATCGAGATTAATAGCAGCGTCCGTTGCGCCGCGTGGAATCAGTAGCTCTGGACTTCATGGACGATATCTCAAGCGAGTCGGACTGTACTAGTAAGTTCTATCTATTATTGATTTACTTTGAAGTATATGCCATGTCTCAACTAACTGAACAGCAGAGTACTGGATCGACTGGTTTCTCGGCGCTCAGGGCAATGAATTCTTTTGTGAAATCGACGATGAGTTCCTAAGCGATAGATTTAACATGACGGGGCTCAACTCAGAGGTCCAGTACTATCAATATGCTATGGACCTAATTATGGATTCTTTTGGTATGGGAAAATCCGACTACGTGGTGCTAGGGAAGCTAATCGTATTCTAGAGCATGATTGTGACGATCAAACCCGAGAGCAGATTGAGCGATCAGCTCGGCACTTGTATGGTCTGATACACGCACGGTACATATTGACACAGCGAGGGCTCCAGAAGATGGTTAGTGTCATGGTTAATAATATGACTGCAACAATTGTTGACCGTATGAATTTAGTTCGATAAATACAAAAACGGTGATTTCGGCGTCTGTCCCCGAATTCTTTGCAATCGGCACCCAGTCTTACCTGTTGGTCTGAGTGACATTCCACATTCTGCCCCGGTAAAGATGTTCTGTATGAAGTGTGAAGATGTGTATAATCCACCACTTGCACGATTCGCCACCATCGACGGTGCCTATTTTGGAGCAAGTTTTCCATTTTTGCTATTCCAGGCATACCCACATTTAATCCCCAACAAGAATGCGCCTGAGAGGTTCGTCCCTGCCATTTTCGGTTTTAAGATTCATGAGCACGCGAAGCTAGCGCGCTGGCAAAAAACTCGGAGGTTGGAATTGATGCAACGATTACAATCTTATGAAGATGAGGAGAATGGTCGTAACAAGTGACCGTATGACAATTGAGTGCATAATCATGGTGACGGCGTTTACTCAATATTTTTGCATTTTTAGGATTTATCTGTATCTAAGTTGGAAATTTATTGGGTTCAGTAGAAGTGACTCATGGATTGACTACTGTTATATTACTAAACTAGCAAAAGAGGTTCTATATACAGTGCGCGAATTATACAATATTGAGACAGATATGAACGAACGCGTTCAATTCTGAATTATAACAAACTCGGCCAATCTACTCTTTCTCGGTCGGTGTCGCGCTTTCTCCTGACGTAGTGATCTCCTCGATAACTTCCGACTTAGCTAGTGACTCAGAAGATGACTCCTTTATCTTGTTGTAGATTCCCATGCCGCTAGCAATCCAACCGCCAATATCACCCAGCTGTGATGGAACGACAATTGTATTGGACTCCTTCGCCAACTTGGAGAAAGCATCCACATACTGTTCGGCAATCCTAAGCGACACAGCATCAACCCCTTTGGGTGATTCTGCAATAGCCTGCGCGATGTTGCGAATACCCTCCGCTGTAGCCTTAGCCTTTAGGAGAATTGCTTGTGCTTCACCCGTCGCTCTGTTGATAACCTCCGCCTTTTCCGCCTCGGATGCCAAAATCACAGCTTCTCGGCGACCCTCGGCGATGTTAATGGCTGACTGTCTATGACCTTCAGAGTCAAGAATTTCTGCTCGCTTTGACCGCTCAGCAGAGACTTGTCGGTGCATAGCTTCCAAAACGTTTGCCGGCGGATGAATATCTCTTATTTCGTAACGCAAACACTTTATGCCCCAATCGGCCGCAGCCTCGTTGATTGCCTGGGTGATGTTCACATTTAGTTGCTGTCTATCGCAATACTTAGTATAAGAACTTATCAAGCACAATATACTTAGGTACTTGCCTTTCCTTCAAAACGTGATCAAGTGTGAGTTGTCCAATCTCGCTACGCATCGTAGTCTGCGCCAACTGCTGAACTGCATAGTCCGCATCTTCAACCCCGTAGCTCGCCTTGTACGCATCAAATACCCGGATATAGAGAACTCCCTAGACATATTGTCAGCCAAATTCAGCAGCGAGTCAGTAACACCTGCTTACGTCAATATCCAAGGTCACGTTGTCCGCAGTGATGGCGCTTTGGCTTGGAATTTCAATAGCAGACTCTTTCAGAGATTTTACATATTGGATTTTGTCAATAATTGGAATTAGAATCGCAATCCCAGGATTCAAAATTCGATTGAATTTTCCCATTCGCTCCACAATGTAAGCAGTTTGTTGAGGGACAAATCTGTCCACTGGTTAGCACCAATACGCGACTTAGGTTTTTCACTATTCCCACGACGCGTATAAACAAATATACCTGATTATAGTATTTGCAGGACGGGGAGCATTTCTCGACGATTGAAAGAAATTAAGGCTGCCCGATCCACCAGAGTTATATCGAATAGGAGTAGTCGCTACACGAGCACCTGAGCCAAAGACGGCCAATGTCGGAATAATTTGCGGCCGAGTGGCGCGCAAAATCCTTGATTGGGAAACTAATCGAGTCCTCGCCAGCGACGTCATACTTGGAGAGTAACTTTACCAATGTGATGCGTTGCGGTTGTTGACTGTACGACTTGGTATTTCCCGGAGTGGAGTTGGGCAAAAACTTTGTCGCTTACAGTAATAATGTCTAAAGAGCTAATCTCACACGCACATCCATCCTCTACACGTTCAGGCCATTTCTTCGATATTTAGAAGGCTTCCTCTTGAACGGGTCAACAGACCTGTACTTTGTTGCGCCGCTAGCGATATAACTTTATTAATGCAAAGATTTTACTTCATTATTATGAGATATTGTTTTTGGAATGATTGCTGACTAAGTTTGATCTAGGGTACGTTATCAGTATTTTTGGTAGCGTGTTTCAAGCAAGCTTGTATGGCGCAACGGCAGCGCGTAGGATTGCAGATCCCGAGGTTGCTGGTTCGAATCCGGCTACAAGCTAGAAATGCACAGTAATCTGCGTTCATGTCATTGCACAGTATTGAGAGCCAGACTTGCTTTTTCTTCTATTTTGGTTTGAGTCTGAAATCATATGTGCATATAAGACACTTAAAGTGACCTATTTCCCCTACATCAAAAGGCCAACTTTAACCTAACCTGAACTCACATGCACTTTTTTTTTTAGAAGGGCCACTTCTATTATTATTATTATTCCCTCGGATAATTGATCATCCACCTCCCAATCGCCGGTCGCATTCCATGGCACATTATACAGGCGTCGCGTTTGACCTACGGATTTAAGCTCACAAACTCGCCTTCATAATACGACCAGTTTCAACAGCAACAGGCATCAGGTATCAAGAGCATCTGTAAGCATCGAAGCATTATGGCACAAGGCGAAGCGAACAACTACTTCTCCCGTTGCACTCCGCTCTCCGCAAATGGCAACAGCGGCATCGGGGACTCTCCGCCCGGAGCGACACCGGAGTATGGCAACCTGCTCTTCGACGGCGACGAAGCGGACTTCGATGCCAACGGCCTCCCATATCCGAAGCCTATCCAACGATCTTCGTTCTCCGCACCAGTAGATTTGATCCAGACTCATTTCTGGTGTCCCAGAATCGGTTCCAAGGATTAGAGGACCTGCACCGGCAGTTGAGAAATTGGTCAAGCGCGTTGCAGAAGGAATTGGTCGACCTGATTAGTCACGTGTTCGGCGCGTCGTATGCGCGCGACAAACGCGCAGACGCGTCCGACGTGGATTATGGTAGCACAAACAAAACGACCCCGCTTCCGATCGACCATACAGTACACTCTCGCCCACATCTGTCTGCTGCTTTCCAACAAACATCTTCTTTCCAACTCCTCGTCACGACCACGTTCTCGACATGTGCCTCGCGTCAGACACAGAAGTACGCACGACTGATGGTGACAAACGCGTCCGAGATGTCCAAATTGGCGATACTCTCTACGATGCGCAAGATCGTCAAACGCCTTGCATTGGTGTTGCACCTGCTACCCATAAGTTGAAGACGATCACGTTTCGGAAATTCGATTCCAGTGAATATATATCTTTCACCTGCGCTCCGGATTATCGACTTAGTCTGATAACGACCGGTATAAGTCCTTCCACCTCAGGAAAGTCGGTCACCTGGTTTACTCGCTGTGACGGTACTAGTTCATATATCCCATCATCGCAGCCCCATCCACCTGACGACCCGCCTCGTTCGAGTTCACCGTTGTCTGACTCTTCGTCAATGGAGTTGGATAAAGCTGCTCAGGATCGGTTTGCGGCCATCCGAAAGAGTCTTGACAGCATTAATTGTGATTGTGGTGGTCTTCGGAAGGTGCATCGCCGTTTCAAGAGTGAAGGGCTGGCACAGCTGGCGCTCAAAATTTTGCAAAGCGATCGTCATCATCTGCTTGATCCTCTAATTGTCAGAGACGGCGAAACATTCTCGATGACAGTCGACGAGTATGAGCGACTCTGCTGCAAGGTGGTCAAACGAGATAACTTGAAGGTCTATCGTGTTCCGCTTGCCTTTGATCCATCCACCGTGTCCGCAGATCCGCAAGCTCTACCGCTTGATGGATATTATCTGGGGTCGTGGATCGGTGATGGCGACGCTAATTCTACGGCGATTGCGTCCTCGGCCTCGGACCCCGAGACTCCTGTCTGGTTGCAATCTTACACTGACTCAATCAACAGCTCGGGGCGGCCATCAGATAATAAGCTCTCCTTGACAAAAACGTTGGCCCAGGCGGCAGGCACGAAAACAAGCATCGGGAACGTAAGGAAGAGTGATGTCTTCTGGTACAGGATCGCGGGCCGGCCAAGAAGGACTAACCCTGTTCTGGATGGTCTTCGGGAACTCGGCCTCCTCGGCAACAAAAAGGCCTGTATTCCTCGTGCATATATGGAAGCTGATGAAGACACGCGTCTGAAAGTTATTGCTGGCCTGATCGACAGTGACGGTAATTATCACAAGTCACACAACAGATACCTTTTCATCCAGGGCACCGAAAACCACAAAAAAATTGTATATGATCTACATAAGTTGGCAACCAGCTGTGGCATCTCGGTCAACGATGTTCATATATACATGGTAGAATGTCCATTTACAGGTCGACATACGCCTACTTACCGTGTCTATCTTGGTAAAGGTTCAGAAAAATTCCAGAAGCATCTGCTCCTGCCTCGCAAGAAGATGAATCTGGAACACACAGAACACACCTATAAAACACATGATGCCCGCCCTTTCACAGTCTCGGACGCACCAGCTGGCGAATGTACAGCAATCCAAGTCAGGGGAGGCCAATTCCAACTCGCCAACCGCCTTGTCGTCTTCGACTATCCTGCTCGAGGCGAGACCGACACCCAGACCCTGTCTTCTCAACAAGTCCAATATATTTCCGCCCCGCCTGCCCCGACAGTGTCTGAATCACCGTCATCGTCTTCGAAAGCGGCATCTACAACCCAACCAGAGGCGTCGACTTCAAAATCATCTCAGAAATCAACACTAGCGTCCACCAAGAAATCGTCGTCGCGACGCAAACCACTTCAACCGAAACCAGACTCGCAGCTCAATGCACGCAACTCGACCTCCTTGACTGCCATGAAGGAGACATACCTCGATCCCTCGGAGAACGCGCTCGTTGAAGTATGCTCATTGCAAGAGTAATCCAGAACAGAGACCGTTTACTAACCCTTATAGGCGGAACGGCCGACCGCGGCAATGGTTTTACACGGATTTTACTCGGAGACGAAGAGCGCGGTCTGATTCCTAGCGACGATGAAGACACACCGGACAGCGTCATGCCGGACGCCAGCGACGAACCTAATCAGCCAACCTTGCCACCAAAAAACAGCCCGTCAAAGTCACGATCGGCGACCCCAAGGTTGTCAGCCACCCAGCGGCCAAGGGGCGGCACCAAAATCACGACGCCGCGATCTTCAAGCTCCGCCACGAGTACGCCAGATGTGACGATTACGACCGCGGAGACGACTATTATCGAGTCCGAAATTCAGCCGGAGCGAATTGAACAGGTGCCGCCCATGCCAACCACATGTCCGATGCCCGTCTTGCTGCCCGAACCTGCAATCACTGGGCCAGCACCTATCAAAATCACCGACTATGTCCCGCGAAAGCGAAAGTTAATTGTGGTAGATGAACCACTGATTCCGAAGTACTGACTCATTCGTTGCTTATTGTTCGTGAGGAATATGTTACCTTGAATCACTGCGTTGGCCCGTCGACGGGCAGTTGAGACTGGCATAGTGTATGAGAAAGTACCCGTAGCGGCGTCGTAGTAGCGATAGTAGTTTCTGTTCGTTTCGTAACCGACCGGAACCTTGGCAAGGTGTACGTCATAGCTGCTGCTGTAGGTCCTATCCAGACCGTACAAATACGCGACTTTGTTCACGACCACGCTGGCAAAGGAGCCGTAGGTATATGTCTGGTTCGTGTACCAATATTGCTCCGGCCTCTCAATAGTGATTTGGTTTGTGACCAAGTCGCGATTTGTAACGGATATTGTCTATCAAGGCAATGATGGGCTTGGAAATTAAAATTGGTGATCGGGGTCCATTGTCAATTTGTGGTTCAGCCGCCGCAACTCCCACCTCGCACTTCCGAGCCGAACGAAATCACCGTCTCTCAGTCACTGCTTGCTTCCAACATCAGATAACTAATAATTAACTGATCCATATTTTCTTTTTTGGCTTTGGCTCATTTTGCAAGACGTACTTGTTCACAGCTGAAGCAACACTTCACCACAAGTTTAGCGGTATGGCAGCCACCGCTCGCCGAACGAGTCAAAGATCCGGGCCTAAACCCGACGTGAAGGTAGCAGTACAAGCTGTTAAGCTGCAAACTCGGCTGGAAATGCAGAGCAATTGTTATTATTTTTTTAAAATAATTGTTCAGATGGAATTTATCCGGCTATTAAGCTTGTTATAATTTTTTAAAAATAATTGTCTATGGAATTTTATTTAAAGTCCGCTCTCTGTTGGTGGTCCAACATTATTGACTATGCTACAAATTTTAAAGTAGGAGACACAAATCTGCTATAGCCTCTTCAATAACACTATTGCGACATTGAAATAAATCGGGACTTATGGTCTTCGATATAAATTGACATGCTTACGCGTTTTTTTCCGGCGCAACGCCCAACAAGAATTCCTTCTCAAAAGGTGACTGCACCTCGGAATCAACGCCATTCATTAGCTTCATGCGTCGCAATGCTTCTCGCAACGTATTACCGGAGTTATCCAACGCAGTCAGAAACCTTGCCAATTCTTTGCACAAGTCCCAATCTCCAATCTCAACCGCTGTAGAAAACAGCCGGATCATATCCGTAGACGAGTCCTCCAGCTGTTCCATTGTGTGCAGTATCAGAAGATAGCCACCTGCCGTCTTCAACTGGCCCAACGACATGCATTTCTCAAATAGCTCTTTCGGTGATCCGACAATATCAAACAGTACGTGCCATGAGGCTACTTCGGTTTTCCTTGTACATCCTGCTATTACATCCAGCATCTCCGGAAAATTGTTCAAGAACTTTATAACTCGAGGAAGAATAGCTTGGTCTGGCGACGGAGGATGATCGGCCTCCTCATCTAGAACATCGTGAAGCATCATCTCTAATGCGTGACCAAAGTACTCGAGTTGCTGAAATGACTTCGCAACTTTTAGAGCTTCGTTCTCTTGTGAGGAAGTAAGATAATAGCGCAGAAGTTGATGAATAAAAAGATGAGTCTATTCAGATCTGGTCAGTCGCAGTTGTACACCACCCCTACAATCACATACCCGAGTAGTGTTTGCGGAATACGTAAAAGACACATTTCGCCGATGAATCAAATTTGATTCAATTCCAATAATAATTCCTTTTTCAAAAAGAAATGACAGTGGATAAAAATCGATATCGATTCGGATAGGCTCAGGTACTAAATCCGATCGTGACAGATTTAGCATGACCTCGAGCCACACGACCACACTTGT